TTATCTTAGACTCTAAGGCAAAACCACTGCCTCATCCTGCTATAGGTTTGTGGTTTACCTAGCCCTGTGCTGGCCAGCTGTTCAAACAAAATATGCCAGGTATAACCCATGAACTATCAGTGTGCAGTGCCTTCCGTAAGCATTACTAAGATAAAAACATTACCGCTCTAGAACACTAAAAAATTTACTAGGATCAGTAAGATTAAAGATAAAACAAAGCAGATTGTAGCTCAGCCTGAGTTAATAGTTTGACCTGTGCAAAAATGGCAAAAGACTGTGTTGGGGGTAGAGAATTCTATCACTAGAAATGATCAAATATGGACTGGTAACCGAGTGATGAACCTCTTACAGATTGGATTAAATTATCAAGTAGATGGCTGGATATGATCATGAAAGATCTCTTCCAACCACAATAATCTGGTCTAGAACACATTAATAGGTCTAAAACTGAGGTCATGGGAGGGATATAACATACACAAAAATCTAATTATCTTTTTGATCTTTACTGTCCTGACATTGTACCAGAAAAGGGGTACAGAAATGAATCAGCCAACCCACTAGTGTTAATGAAACACTACTTATGCATCCTACTAATAAAACTTGGGGTTTAGAATAGATAACAGGGAGTTAAAACAAAAACCAGAGTCTATGAGCCTCCCTATGTTTAGCGGGGACTGTGCCCACTAAATGCAGAAAGGGAAAATTTTGTGCTGGACCTACCTGAGTGCCCTTTGGGTATGTTTAGGAAATAATTATGAAGTTGAGGTGCCATGACATCTCTCTTCTAGAGTAGGAATTGCCTTCTTGAAAAGGGAAGGTAAGGCATTCTTGTTGCCATGCTTTAGACTTAAGAGAAGCTTTTCCAAACCATGGCTATTTCAGTGAGAGGCCATTCAGTGGAGCATCTATAGTTAGATTTGTCCTACTTGTCTTTCTTTTTTAAAACCCACTTGTGGTACCCATTCCCATTCAGGTGTAAATTACTTATAAAATATTACCATTCCCAAGGAATTTGTCTTTAACAGAGATGAAAACTTTAAACTCATTCTATTCAACAAGTCTCTTTTTTGCACCTATTTTGTGTCAGTCATTGTTTTTAGTATTGGGATTACAATGATAAATAACATATGATCCTTAACCTTAAGAAATTCAATCTAGTCTAAGAAACAGAGTTTAAAGCAGATATATTACAGTTACATATGATATATACAACATGGAGGTTATTAAAATATTTATCAAATATCTGATGCTATCTCAGCCACCAAGGACACAAAGACCAACAAGAATTAACCCCATGACTCAAGTTGATCAGATGATACAGACAATTACAGAGTTAAATTCCTGGAATTTAAAGTTTTGAAAATAACTGGATATGGTTAGATCATAAGGTACAAGTGTATTACCGCTCTAGAAATATTTTTCTAGAGAGGTATCAGCAGAAAAACTATTTTTTACATGCTCTGGAATCAAGTCAAATTTATTATCAACACTTCTCACCATTAACTAAAAGGAGGCGGGTTTCTTGTCACAAATCAAGCTTCTTTAGCCAAATTTCTACAGCTAGAAGGCAATGTTTTCCTCACCCATTCTCAATGAATAAACAAGACAGCCATTCTATTCTGTGGCTGAATCCCAAAGATTTTTTTTTTTTTTACTAAAGCAAAAGTAATTTAATGAATTCTAAATGGAATGCTGTGCAGACATTATTTACATAGAAAAATGCATATTGTTAAATGAAAAAGCACTTGCAAAAACAGTATATATATGGTGCCATTTTTCCAAAAGAAAATAAACATATGTATGTATGTTTGTATATAAAGTATATATATATATATATATATATATATATAAAATTCTGTTAGGAATATATCAAAACGTAAACAATCAGTATTCCTACGTAGTGACATTAATGGATAGGTTAATTTTCTATTGCTACATGGCAAATTACCACAACCTTAGTTGATTGTCTGTTGACAAGACTCCAATTCCTTGTGGTTATAGCTGAAGTCCCATTTCCTTGTTGGCTGTCAGCCAAGGTCCACACTGAGTTTCTTGCCATGTGGTCCCTCCATCTTCAAAAGAGCAAGATTTGAAGCAAATAGCCAGAGAAGTCTCTGGTTTTTAACCTATCTTAAGGTTGACTGACTTTGAACCATAATTACATCTGCAAAATTTCTTCACAGTAATACCTAGATGAGTGTTTGAGTCACCGGAAGAAGATAGGTATATGCACCAAGTCAGAATTCTTGGGGGACCTGTCTTAAATTCTGCCTATTAAAAATCAATGATCTTTAGTTTCTTTTAATTTAATTGTATTCTCATATAAAACATTGAACGTGATTATTTCCCGGGTGTTTTTAAGCTGTATTTTGAACTCTTTGTATTAACAAGCGTTAGGTGTTTGTCTGTTTGGCTTCCTTTACCCCCCACCCCTGGCTTGCCTCTCATATGTTTATTTTTAGAAGCAATAAAACTCTAGACTAGAAGACAGGCCCTGGGTGTGTAGTCTCACTTATACCTAAGCATGTGTAGAGCCTCAAGAACTCTAAGAACTTAAGTGAGGTGATATATAGTATAGTTGAAATCGTAAGATGTGAAGTTGTACTGATTGTGTAAGTAATGCATGCATAAATTGGGGAAGTTACTTATCCTCCAGGCCTCACTATTTGTATCTGGAAAATGAAGGTAATAGTAGTGCCTATGTCAGAGGATCACTGGGAAGATAAAATGAGTTAATAATTACTCTTTAGAGTAGTGCCCAGCACATGGTAAAGCTTTAATGTTACCTGCTTATGTAATTGTTATTGTTACATAAGGATGAAGTAAATTTTACCTATCAGAAAGTCTAAAAACTTCTTCATGACTTTTCCATTAACCTGCTGAATGAGCTTAGACAAATCATGGAGCTTAGACACACCCATTTATAGGCATTTTTTCCTTTCATCCATAAAAATATAAATTTGGAATAGATTTTCACTGTGGCTCTTGTTAGTGTTTCTTGGTTAAGAATAGCATTAAGCTGGGCCTCCCGGGTGGCACAGCGGTTGAGCTCTGAGCTGCGGAGCTGCCCACAGCCTCTGCAGCACCGGTTCTATCCCCGGCCGCCGGGCGAGGGTCCCACATGGCGCGCAGACCTCTCCTGCTGCACCCACTGCTCCCCTCAGCAGTGTACTTTGGTCTTCCTGCCTGTTCTGCTCCCCGCTCTGGTTCTGGTGAATTCTCTCACCCTCCCGCACTTCTGACTGTACCCAGTGCTTGTATAAATAAATAAATAAATACATACATACATCTTTAAAATGAATAAATAAATAAATAAATAAATACATCTTTAAAAAAAAGAATAGCGTTAAACCTATTTGAAATAGTAAGATAATTCAATAAGTTATCTAGAAACAAACAAAAAAATATGTAGACAACAGTTGGAAGAGTCAGTGTGTGCTTATAACTCCCACAAGGAGGTGAGCGACTTCATTCATTGCTGTGTAATGCCTATATCTTAACCAGTAAACATTGTTATAAAGTGAGTATATTAAAAAAATTCTCAGGCTAGTGGGGAAGGCAGACAATTAAGCCATCATAGTCCACTGTGGCAAGTCCTATGATCAAGACAAGGTATAAAATATTGCAAGTATTTCTGTTGGAGTTTAAATTTTTCATGTTTTGCTTTTGCCCTCTTCAGCTCTATTAGAACAAGGCAATAAACTGCGTAATGCCATGTTGATTTCTGCAATGAAATCAAGCCCAGATGCTAGCATGGTTTTGGATGAAGTTCGTCCTTCTATGAAGGAAGATTTTCTTAAAGCATCACCAGAGTAAGTTATAGGATAAGCATGAACCCTGATAGTTCATTATTTAATAGTTGTTAACTTTTTTTTTTCAAGTTAGGGACTAAATAATCTTGGAAGTGTTGGGCAAATGGTTTTTTGAGGTATAATTAACATATAACATTATCTCAGGTGCACACATAACAATTTGGTATTTGTATATATTATAAATTTACCACCACAGGAGTCTAGTTAATATTCATCACCGTACAAAGTTACAATAATTCTTAATATGGTGGAAAAGAAGCCTAAATTAGAAGTGAAGATACTCAAAATCTCATCTTAGCACTCGTATTTGCTAAGTAGTTAAATGACTAGATTCATTACTCTCTCTGAACCAGCATGTTCATATATATATAATGAGGCTATTTTCTCTCTTCTCTTTCACAGAAATGTAATGAGATTCTAATATAGTAAAGGACTTTATAAATTATGGAATTTTATATATATATATTAATATAGCTAATTCTAAAGTTTGTTAAATTTTCCACGTTGAACCGTCTCCATATACCGTCTCTTAGCTCAATTACCATTTACATTTTTCCATATGTTAGCCACTTAGAAAGTATTTTTCCACTTTAGAATCAAAGCCTTGCCAAGGAATCAATTTAAAGACCATGTTGAAGACCACTTCCTCCTTCCAACTGAGAATACATTTTGTAAACATGATATAAAAGCTGATGCCAAAGCCATACAGCTGTTATTAGGCAGGTAAGAGTTTTTGACTAGCTTTCTTCCTTTTCAATTCTTTCTCCAATTTATTGTTAACAGCTTCTTCCTGAAGCAATACTTTCTTAAAATAATCAAGTTATTATAGAACAAATCTTGACATAATTAATCCTAAATATATTTTTGATTAATGGAAGAAGGCAAATTTATGAATTAGTCTTCTTCGCAAAAATCAACATATAACATTTACATCATTCAATTATTGTTTACCTTTTTTTCTTCACTGCTAAACCATAAGCAGCATAAGGACAAATTTATCTAAGCCATCTCTAAATCATCTAGGGCCTAACAACACGTCTGGCACATAATAGGTAACTCAGTAAAATGTTTGTTGAGTTAATACATGAGATCACAATCATTGTCAGCAGTGTATTTTTTTGTTTTTAAATAACTTGGTATTTCAGAGGAGGGGAATATAATTTGAAAATATTTATTATTATTCTTCTGTTTAATGTGTCTTTGGTTTAACATAGCTTCCTCCATGTTTAGAAAGTTTTCATTAATGAAAGAATAGCTTAGCTGAAACTTCCGTTAAAGTCCTTGTTTTTGTTGTTGTCTTTATCTTTGCAGTGCTGAATTATCTCAGGGTCATTACTGGGATGGACTAGGCTCTCCTCCAGATTCCCCATCTCCTGGGAGTGATGTGTATTGTAGCAGTGAGCCAAATGACCCTCAGTATGACCAGAGTCTCCTGGAGAACCTTTTTTACACAGCACCTGTAAGTCATTGAATATGAAGCTTTAGAAATTAGAAAACAAAAGTATTAGTATTAGTAGGTACAGGTATGTTACCATTTGCCAGACAGAAAGCTATCCATTTTTACATACACCTTGTCTCCTTTATTCACAATAACAATCTGAAGGAAAGTATTACCCCCACTCATTTTACAGATGAAGAGACAGGCTTAGTAAGTTAAGTGTTTGTCCACGGACACACAGCAAGTCTTAGAGCCAGGATTCAAATTCAAGTTTACTTGACTCGAAGACCCCGGAAGCACCCTTGACTGGTATCTTTTCAAAATATTCCAGAAACATTTCTATTCACAAGTGAGAAATACCTCTACTGACCGTGAAGTCAGGACATTCTCTTTTCAGGGAGTTCTATCTTTTTCAAATATTGAATTGTATGTTTCATTCATTGCTTTCGCCTCTTCTAGTTTGGAAATAAGTCCAGTGTTCCACGAGTAATCATTTGTATTTATGAAGATTGCTGTCATACTCCAGATTTTCCTTTTTTCTGGTGCAGAAAAGATAACTGAAATACAAGGTAGTTTATACTAACTCCGTAGTAAGACAATGAGCTGTACCAGGGTTCGGAAGAAGAAAGAGAACTTTTACATGAGATTTGTCAGGAAAGAACATGAGAAATAAAGGGTTTTAAGTGAAACTTTAAAGATAGTGTTTACAGAGACAGAGAAAGAATATAAATTGTGTGTAAAAAGAACTTATCTGTCTGGAGAAGGAATTTGTACACTGCAAGGTATCTAATTAGGAAGATATTTCTTATAGAAAAGAAGTCGACAAGGCAGGCTGACATATTGCAGGCAGTCTGTAAAAGGCTTTCAATGTTAGATAAGGAGGAAATGATATGATTAAAATAGTGTTTTAGGAATGTTGATATGGCAGTGATGAAGAGGGACGATTGAGAGAAGAGTAATTGGAAGCAGATAGAAAACCACTGGGTTATTGGAAGTGTGAGAGAGCCTGACTGAGAATGACAGCAATGGGACTGGAAAGGAGATGCATTTGAAAGAGATTATGAATTGTTCGGCTTACCTTGCTCCTTACCTTCGTCATCACTGATACTTGATTAAAAGGAAAAGGAATTTACCTTTACTCTACATTTTCTGTGTGACAAAAAACTTACATGTTGATCTATTATTTCTACTGAGTATTTTTTAATTCACTATTTCGTTTAATGTTTTTGCTAATCCCATGAGATAGTGTTTTCTGTTTTACATATAGAATAGCAGCTTAAAGATGTTATTGTGTAAATCAGTGGCAGAACTAGAATCCTTACTCTAGCCTATCTGGAAAAAAGCTGTTTTTTTCCACTTGACCACACCATCTCATAAACTCTAAGCATGGAATTAGAATCTGACCATAACTTACCTCCCTAACCTTATTTCCCACTTTGACCTTTTAATTGCTTGAAACTCCTGGTTGTCTCACCACTGCTCAAACATTCTAGCTCTTGTTTTATTTTCATATGTTTTGCTCATGCTGATCCTTCTACTTTGAATGTTGAAATGCCCCTATACATTTGGTAAACTTCTTTTCATTTTTTAAAAATAAATTCATTGCCTCTATGAAGAAACCATCTGGGCTCCACCAACCAGAATTTGCTGCTGGGATGCCTGCTGTATCTAGCACATCACTCTATTATAGCCCTTACCTTATTTTATGACATAGTTCCTCTTAAATAGAGCTTGTCTTCATGATCTTTTTATTACCAGTACAGCAAAGACCTGTGAGATACTAAGTACTCAGTAAATACTTAATGCATAAAGAGATGAATGTGTAAATAGCACTAAATAATCCCCAATATTATTTGAACAAAATAAATTTAGCAAATGTTGACTAAAAGAAGTAGCCAGTTGACCGTGAGGCAGTGGAAAGACCAAGAAGTTAATATACTCCTTCTCTGGGGTTAGTGTTTGATGTTATTAATAGTAAATAACATCCATGGCTTAGAAATTCTGCATTATTACCTTGTTTTTCTGATTTCTGAATTTTTTAGCTTTTGAACACCTAGTTTACTTTTACTCTAATTTCCTTCAGGTTATGAACCCGCCTAGATTCTGATTGCCTTGTCAATAACTAATTTTCAAAGCTGCTACTTGATAAAGAAAAATCTGTGGCAAAGTCTTTATAATTTTACCTTGAGAAAACTATAGCTAGAAGGACATTATAATCAAGTTTATTTAACTTTGGGTTTGTTACCATTAGCACTGACCAACATATTATGTACCCTGAGAAACTAAAAAGGGGAAATTGGAAATGATAAACATAAAATGAATTTGTAATACTAGGGTGTGTGTTTGTTTGCTTGTTCTTAATTTGTAACCAACTAACTATATCACTTTCTTTGTATTTTGCATTTTGTGAAATAAGAGGTTGATCAGTACATTATGGTAGCCACTTTGTCTCTAAATAAAAATAAAATTACCATACAAATTTCAAGGCATAAATAAGTCATGGGGCTATAATGTACAGTATGGTAACTACAATATAATTGATAGTACTGTACTCTACATTTGAAAGTTGTTAAGTGGGTAAATTTTAAAAGTTCTCGTCACAAGAAAAATAAATTATAACTGTGTGGGGATGGTTGTTAGCTAAATTTGTTGTTAGTCGTGTTCAATGTATACATTTATAATTATTATGTTGTACACCTAAAATTGATACCATGTTGTATTTTAATTATATCTTGGTTTTCTAAAAAATGAATTTCAGGGGCCTTAGTCACTGGTTCCTCCATTAAGGAGATTTGTGAAATGTAATAAACTGTTAATTTTAGCAAGATTAAAAGAAGAATTGAATCATTAATAGTATAGAATGGTGTAAAAAGCAGCGTCTTAGCATCCATGTAGTTAGGTGACATTGTACTAGTTATGTGGTAGAAAAACAGGCTTAGGGACCCCTGGAGATCAAATTCTGTCTTTACTACTTATAGCTGTGAATCATATACAACTTCTCTCAGCATTCATTTTCTCACTTGTAAAAATTGTCATAAAGACATTGTACAGGAACGCGGCATTATACACACACATTGAGCACTTAGCATAGTACCACATACATAGCAGGCTATTGTTGTTAGTGAGAATTTAAAAGAAGGATCTATTTTCATTTTTTTTTTAACTGAACTTGTAGCTTATTTTTTCTGAACTTTAAAGTATTTTTGTATGACAAAGAGAATCATGGGATTATCTCCCTAGTGTCAGTTACCTCTTTAAGAGAATCATTTATGTGCAGAGCAGACTCTGATTACTTTTAGAGAAATGTTTCATTATCATTACCCCAAAGAATTATCTTTTGGTTCCTTTCTTTCCTTTTCTTCCCCCACAGAAATCTAATACCAGCTTCAGTGATTTCTTCAGTGAAAATGATGATAATGTCCCTTCTAAAAAAATGAGCCAGTCAAAATCTCTTTCCAAATCTCCTAAGGTTCCGGACTCAAGTGATCATAAGCTAAAGAAGATGGCAGTAGGCAAGAAAAATAGGTGAGCCTCTTTATGAGTGTTTATTTAGAGGCAAAAGCAAAGGAAAATTGTTTCTTCAAGATCCCCTAAAGTGAAATGATCTGTATTTGTTCAACTTGATCAGCCTGCTTAAGTGAGTTATAGTAACTCATTAAGTATTACAATCCTTAAAATTTTAATAGCATGAAAAGATAAAATGGACATGATATAATGATTCAGGGAAAAGGCAGATTTCTGGATTGTGTGTGTTCTGTGATTGCACGCTTATATAGAAAATATGCATAAAGAAAGCAAATTAAAAAGAATATACAAAAGTGACAATTATAGTGAATAACTAGTGTAAAATCGGTATCCCTTGTAAAAGACCTAGTTGTGTAACATCAGTTTCTATGCTTGTAGGTAGTTAGGCCTTTAGATTATAAGCATGTTTTCACATTTCTTGAGATCTTTTTAGCTATAGGTTAGGGGGCCAGACTTCTAATAATTAAAGCACTTCTCAATCCTTGACAGTTTGTGAATTAAGATGCTTGCTGCCCTATCTCTTTCCTCTTCTTGTTCATGCAAAGTAGATTATCCATGTTGGGCCTCTGACCAGTCGCTTCACTATCTATGAAATTCTTTCAGAAATTTGGTTGAACCACAGATGCCATCAGAAACACTGGAAGATGCCCAAGTGATGACACTGAGTGTGGATAAACTGTCCCTCCTGGGAAGAGCGCAGTCAGTCAGAATCATCATTGAAACAATGGGAGTACCTCCAGATAGTCCTCAGGTTACCCTTGGCAATAAAAGCTTTCCTGGGCGACCACCTAAGCTGACACCAACAAAAAAGCGGTATGTCTCTAACATGAGAACGCTAAATCTGACATTTCTAGAAAGTGTGTCTAATAATAAATAAGTGTTTAACACTTTATGATTTGTAAAGTGTTTTCATATGTATCATTCAGCCAATTGATATCTACTGAATCCCCCTATCGGTCCTATGTACTATACCAAGTAAGTGTGAAAATAAAATTAAGACTTAGATTGTTCTTGCATACTTTACAGTCAGCAGGAGAAAATATTTTAGTGACTATTGATAATATAGGCCTTTAGGAGCCAAAAGAGATGGTTTATATTAAAATTGCTGTGGGTTAACATGGCAGGGAGTCTTTAATTCTGCCCAATAGGATTGGTGAAGATTTGAAAAAGGAGGTAAGTCCTCTGAGAATCTGAGATACAGTGAAAATAGGACCTTGCATGACTTGTAGGATTGTCAGACAGGAAATAGGATTATTATTTGGCTTGTTTTTAAATAACTTTTTTGTCTTGATTTTTAGCACCTTCTTTGTAGAATATCACTTTCCTGTGGGCTTTTCTGAAAGTGGAGTGGGAAAGACAACTTTGATCACAGAAGTCGTTCGACTCGCCTCCAGTAAAATTATAGATGGAAGTAAGCAAGAGACTGCCTTTCTGCACCTTAGACACTTTGAATCCCCAATCACGCCTCTGACTTTTATATGATCATAGAATCTTAGAGCTAGAAAGACTTTTGAAGTGAGTTTACTCCAAGTCCTTTATTTTGTGAGGAAATTTGCTCAGAAGTGTTATGATTATCCTGACGTGAGTCAGTAACAGCCGATACTAGAACTCAGAACTCCTAACACTTAGATCATGTACTTTCAACTATTGCCATTTTTCTTCTTGTTTTTAAAAGCATCTTTTTAAAATTCATTTACCAGTTAATTACATATTTGAAGTTAACAATTAAGTAGTTTTTAGTATATTCACAGTGTTGTGCCACCATCACCACAGTCTAATTTTAGTATATTTTAATCCCACCTGAAAGAAATCCCAAACACATTTATCACTCACCACGCCTCATTTTCTTCTTCACTCCATTCTGGACATTTTTATAAATGGAATCATACAATATGTGATTTTTGTGATTGACTTTTTTGACTTACTATAATATTTCCATCCATGTGGTGGTTTGTATAATACCCCATCAGGTGATGGGCACTGGAGTTATTTCCACTTTCAAGCAATTATGGAAAATGTGTATATAATTTCATACAGATATATGCTGTCCTTTACTTTGGTTATGTACTAATATGGAATTACTGAATCATATGGTAACTGTGTATTTTAATTTTTTGTGCTGGACTGTTTCAAACAGCTACTCCACCATTTTATATTCTCACCAGACTCTCTTATCTCTTCATCAACACTTTTTATTTTCCATTTTTTTTTAATTCTAGCCATCCTAGTGGGTGTCAAATGGTATCTCATTGTGATTTTGATCATCTTTTCGTGTGCTCACTGTCTACTTGTATATCTTAGAAAAATGTTTAAATCCTTTACCCTTTTTAAAATTATTATTAAGATCAAAGTGTTCTTTATATATTCTGGATACAGAACCTTATTAGAATTTTGATTTGCAAGTATTTTCTCCCATTGTATGGATTGTCCTTTAATATTCTAAATAGTATCATTTACAGCACAAAAGTTTTAGATTTTGATGTCACTCATATATCTTTTTTTCTTTTGTTGCTGGTGCTTTTTTTTGTTTTAAATATTTCTAATACAGATAAGTAAATGTGTAATATAATAACCATTCATGTTTCTGACATTCAAAATTATCACTACTTTTCTAACAGATTTTGAGAATATCTTTGCCTGGTTCTCCAGTTTGATCCATGAACGGTCCTATCAGTGTTCATTTTCCTCTCTGGGAATATTTGAGAAGTAAAAACAGGGGTCCTAACTCTCTTTTACACTTGCTATGCACCATAGTTACATTGGGTTTTTAGATTTTGTTTGGTTTGGTTTTTTAACAAGTCATCATCCATTCATGTGGCTCAGAATTTCAAGATCCCCTCTCTATGAACTCTTCTGTAAATTTTGTATTTTTCCTAAGATTTTATATATGTTTAAGCCAATATGCTTATTTTTTGCCCTCTTCCCATTTTTATCCAAATATTAGTGTACCATATACACTGTTCTGCACCTTGTTTCGATAGTATGTCATAGGAATTTTTTCAAGGACATAGATAACTTCCTCAGTCCCTTATTGACTATATAGTATCTCACTGTGTGGTAATATCATAATTTAAACACCACCCCCACTGCTCAGTAGGTCAATATTTAAGCTGTTTTCAATTGTTAAAAATGGTACTTAAGTGAGTAATCTTGTACCAA